GTAACTGGTCTTATTTCTACCACTAATCAGCTATGTGACTTCAGAAAATTAATTACCCACCATGGACCTCAGTTTCTTCCTCTCTTTTCTTTCCTCTATTTACCACATCATTTTTAGGAGTGAAATACTTTGTAGTAGCCCTGTGTGCTCATCCATCACTCTCTGCCCCCATCCCCAGGTCAGGTTTCTGCTGCCTGAAGCCTTATGGAGCCTGTTTGAAAACTGGAAGTAGCTGATCTCCCAGGTCCTTCCTGGTTTTTACCATCTTTGATTCTGGTTTGGAGTTCTTAAACAGGCATTGGTGATTAGTGCAGTGCTGGGTTAGGCCAAGATCTTAGCATCTGTAGGCAGCTATCTCATGAGTTACATTATCTACATATTTTTGGTATTCTGATTACACCGTAATAATTTATCTATATAATAAAAAATTGCCTTAAAATATTTTTGGTACCAGGCAAGGAATTATCAAAATATTTAAACAATTCACATTTTAATAGTTTTTTTTTAAGTTTATTTATTTATTTTGAGAACGAGAGAGCGTAAGTGGGGGAGGGAGAGAGAGAAAGGGAGAGAGTCCCATGTAGGCTCCACGCACTCAGTGTAGAACCCCACGAGGGGCTCCATCTCACCACTGTGAGATCATGACCTGACCTGATATCAAGAGTTGGATGCTTAACCAACTGAGCTACCCACAGTCCCCAAATTACTTTTTTTTAAAGATTTTTTTTTTTTTAAGTAATCTCTACATGCAATGTGGGGCTTGAACTCACAACCCTGAGATCAAGAGTGGCATGCTCTTCCGACTGAGCCAGCCAGGTGCCCCAATAATTCAACTTACTTTGAATTTCAAATTACTCAGAAGGGCAGGTTTCTACTGCTCCTTGTTTCACAACTAAACAGAAAATTAATTTTTAGAAAGAATTCAAAATATGTATTCTATGTATTTTTTACTTGCTCATATAACATCATCATGACTGAACAAGCAACTAAAAGAGCATCTTCTAATAATATATTCTAATAAGAAGTGATACTTTGAATAGAATAAGTGAATATCACCGTTGTCAAGTCTTTGATTAGCCTAACCAACTTTTTCCTTACCCTTCTCCAACAAGAGAGAATATTTTTCCCTTTTATTGCAGCTGAATGATAAAACTTGGTTCTTTTACATTTTTCATTGCTTTTCTCTCATCTGAATCTTTTCTCAGTGCTTTTTTCCAATCTCAGAACTAGTCACACTAGGTCACCACTGGGACATTAAATTTATGAGGGGTATAGACAGATTGGAGAAGACCGTGACTAGACTTGAAGCCATGTAATTTAAGAAGAGGTTGAAAGAAAGGTTGAGGATTTTAATCCGGGTAAGACTAAGGGGAAGAAGTGGTCTGAGGGAGCTGCCTTTGCATTTTTGAAGAGGTGTCATGTTCAAGAATGACTAAGGGTGTTCAGGATGGCCTCAAGGAGCAGAATTAGAACCAGACATATTTTGGTGCCATATCGTATTTTGGAGCTGCCTCCAGCAGTGAGTTTTCTAGCTCCAGTGTGCACAAGCATAGTCTGCAGACTGTTTTTCAGGGTGTGAAAGGCAGGATTCAAGGGATGTTCAAAGAGTCACTGTTGTTGAGACATTTCTATACTTAACTGTTAAATGTCTGTGTTTAACATTACCTTTCTTTTCTTCATTGAGTGACATCTTAATTCTCTTAGCATTTTCTTTATATGTGAAATAACTTTCTTTATGGTTGTTTAAAATAAAAGTCATTTCCTACCACTTCTGTTAAGCTGGATGATTGGAAAGAAGTTTCTTCCATTATCTTCCTCCACAGACTGAAATCATGCCTTTATTATGAAACCACAGCCAATAGGAACACTGACCTCATGATAATTGAGAGAATAAAGTGTTTTATGATCTCATTAGAATCTTGACATGGATGTGTGCTGTGTGTGCACTAGCTTGTTTACAATTTTCCTTGTAGAATTTTCTATATCATTTAGATTGTGTAGATTTTGGTTTAGAAAAATTTGATTATACTGATAATCACTTATTTTTCTTTCATGCAACATTAAAAAATTACTTATAGAGTCTTAACTTCAAAAATTTCATTATAATATACATACTGTGAATATGATAAGGAAAAATAAACTTTTTCTTTTTGAGTTCTTAATTTGCAGGATTTCTTTTCATTCAGGTCATAATTCCTTTATAACCAAATTTCTTTATAACCAAAATTTCTTTATAACCAAAATTTCTAAACAAACGAATTATATGAAAGAAATGTTTTTTGTATATTTTGTATGTGTATTTTGTTCAGTTGAAGCTACTGTCTCTGAAAATACAGGTTTAGAGTTCATTTAGACTATTTGTGAAATTAAAAGTTTATGTGTTGAATGAGAACGTGGGCTTCTTTTTCTCATGTAATTTTTCTGACACAACACTGGGATGAAAAGTTGTTAGGAAATTTGCAAGTGAATTTAGATTCTACCCAAATTTAAATCGGCGAATTTGGAAACAGATTGCCATCATTGAATTCAGACTTTGAAACAAAGGGGGTAAGTTTATTGAGACATTCATTTGCTTTGCTTTTCTATCTTTCACATATAAAACCTGTTAGAAATTTTCAGTAAAATAATTTGATTTGGCCAACATGATTGTTGACACCAAGACTGGGAGAATATCAGGCAAAATTCAAGTAATTGTATGACTGCGGACATGTTTGAGAGATGTCTTCTCCTTTAGAACTCCACAGCCATGACCAGTGGACTATAAAACATGAAATGCATCTCAACACTGAAGAACATTACAATTCACCTTTCAGGACTTTTACAGTTTTAAAAAACTCTTTTGAGGTATTTTTTCCTCATGTGAAGATTAGGGTACAGATGATGCTGTATAGGTATAGGTTATAGTAAGTACTGGTTAATGATTCTTCCAGCTTTAAATTTATATGGTTCTGTCCTTAAAGATTTGGATGTTAGGGTTTTGTTTTTTTTTTTTTGTTTTTTTTTACTCTCTTACAAGGACGTGTTTGATTAGAATTACTGACGTGTTCTCTTTTTTCTGAATAGCTAAGAAATATACACACACAGACATATAACTTATGAGAGCAACAACAAAAAAATCAAACCATTCAGGTTTCCAAAAGCACTTCATATTTATTTTTTGTTCCTATTTAGCTTTTTGGAGAATCGGCAAAGCTGATTAACGGTCTAAGACCAGGGAGTTGAGTTTTACTCGCTGGCCTCACTGCGCTCCTTCAAAGTCCGCCCGGCAGCTCTTCACTTGTGCGCCCCCTTTCTCCCAAAGGCGGGCGCAAATCCCTTTCAGTTTCTGAGAAACCACACAGAGCGCATGCTCTTACGATGGTGGATCTGTAGCGCCATTTTCATACCGAAGGCTTTAATTAGGCACGTCTGTAGGGTACCCAGTATTAAAGTTGTTCAAACAGTGTGAGGAGCCTCATAGAAACAAGACAAGGGCTTTTTGGGACGAACCACTCCCTGCAGCACTTCAGCTAACACGTAAAGAGATTCTTTTGTGTTAATTTCCCCCGTGGACGAGTGGCCCTCTCGTGTGTCGCTAGTTCCCTCCCCGCTCCACCCCTCTCCCGCCCCGGCTGGCTTCGCTTCCCCGCCCCCCTCCTCGACTAGAGCAAAATAAAGGTGAGGCATTTGTGATGATTTTGCGGCCACAGTGGCAGTCCAAATGAGAGGACGTGGGGGACCGGATGGGAATGTTTTCCCCAGTGAGAAGAAAGCACAAGTTATTTCAAAGTCCAGTATGTGTAGAGGAAACCGGTACATGTTCTTTTGAGCTAGGAGGTAGCGCTTTTTTAATTTTATTTTTTATAAAGGTGGAGATCCGTCAGGGATGGGGGGCTAGGGTTGCTACAAAGATTTGCTATAGATAGGAGGCGGAGCGCGGAGCTCTGAGGTCTTTAAAGTGTGTGTGTGCGTGTGTGCGCGCGCGCGCAAGAGTTTAAGAGAATGTGGGTGATGGGGCGCGCAAGAGAGACAGAGAAGAAAAATCTGGAGTGGGAGAAGACTTAGTGCAGAAAAGGAAGGGGGGCCGGCGCATCCTTGCCTGGGAAGCCGCAAAAGCGCCCTTCCCTACCTACTCCCTACTCCACCGTTTCATTCATAAGTTTCTAGTCTGGAGGCCCCGCCCGGCTCCCCTGGGCCCAGGGCCCCGTTTCCTGTACAGCAATTGGTGGACGGCAACAAAGCCTTAGCAACTGGCTCCTAGAGACATGAGGGCCGCCTGGTAACTGGGGCGCGGGGTCGGCACCGAGAAAGGAGCGGGGCTGTCCCTTTAAGGGATGGCCGCGGAGCCGTGAAAGTGGAGGGGGCCGGGGGAGGGCGGGGAGGAAGGTCTGAGGGCGGACCTAGGGGGAGGAGGAGGAGGAAGAGTTGCTGCTGAAAGGAGGTGGCGAAGGAGGAGCCGGAGCAGCTGCTGCCAGCCCGCGGGCACCGGAGTCCTGCCCGCTGCCGCACGAGTAGCCACCGGCGCGATCGGGGCAGACGTCTCCTCCTCCATGATCACTTTGGGAGCGGGGGGAAGACTTTGCCCTGCCGTGAGAGCTGGTCTGCGTTTTCCAGGCGCGGCGGCGGCGGCGGAGCAGCCGCAGCAGCCGGGTCCGAATCGGAGCGGCCACAGCCTGGGGCGTGTGCGCCCCGCGCGGAGCGGGCTCGGGTTCCCCACGGAATGTCCCCGGGGCGCCCGGCGCGCTGACCCCCCAGCCGCCTCCGCCTTCGGCGCCTGCTGCCTCTCTTCGGCGGGCGCGGTGTTCGGGACTGCAAGCTTCCCGGCTCCTGGGCAGTGGGGAAGCCCCCGGGGGCGGGTGACCTCAGCTGTCCACGACCCAGCCCTCCCCCGTGCGTATCTTGCTTAAGATGGCAGCGGAGTCAGGGGAACTAATCGGGGCTTGCGAGTTCATGAAAGGTGAGGAGCAGCCGCCCCACATCCTCCAACCCTACCTCACCCCCAACTCTTCACTTCTAGCCCTATGTCCCAACCGCCGCCTCCGGCTTCTCTTGGGGCCCCCAGTGTCCTGCAGCGGCTGCGCGCGCTCTCGTCTCCTCTCGCTACTGTCCTCTCCCAGAGGACCCCCTGCTTCCGGCTTCTCTGTCTTTCTTGCGTCCCAGGTTCCCTCTGCAGCTCCCTCGGATGGCCTCCCTGCCCAGTAGTGGGACGGCGCGGGGTTCCGCCGGACTTTTGCACGCAGGGGCTGGTGGAGATCCCGCTCTGGGTGATTTTTTTTTTAGTCTCCTTTATCCCGCTCGGTTTTCGG